ACTGCAGGAGGGAGATGTGCTGATGTCCTGGGATATCAAAAGGGGGTACCGCCACTTTTATCTCCATCCTCGCATGAGAGACTTTTTCCTCTTCCGATACAACGGTCGGTACTACCGTTGCATCGCGCTACCGTTCGGCTGGGGGCGCTCTGTTCTGTGGTTCACCAAGCTGCTCCGTCCCTTGGTGAAGCACTTGCGGGAGCGCCTCGGGTACCGCATCCTGCCGTACATTGACGACTTTGCGTGTGCGCCGTGGCCGCTGGGGGGGATAGCAGGAGATATCGACAAGACAGGACTGTGCGCGCGCCGGGAGGAGACTGTCAAGGCTGTTCGCAAGGTTGGGGCTCGTCAGACACCCGGGGAAGGGATGCTGGGAACGGACGACTACGCTGGATCATTTGGGTTGTGCGGTGGATACTGTCGCGATGAGGGTGTTTGCGTCCGACAGCAAGGTAGCCCGCCTTCGCTTGCTAGCCAAGCAGCTCCTCTTGTCCGCGCAAAGGAACCGCCGGTAGGTATCGTTGAAGAAGCTGCGGCATTTTTGCGGAGTGGCTGTGTCGATGACACTGGCCATTCCGCTTTCGCGGTTCTACACAAGGAGCCTCTACTTCGACATGGCACTGTCCGGGCTCCTGGTGGAGCGCGAGGAGCAAGGGAGAAGTCGGACGGCTGCGTCGCGGGCCGAGCTTGCGAGGCCCAGACGCTGCCAGGCGAACTGACGCCCCAGGCAAGCAGATCTGCTGTAAGAGGAATGTGGATAAGGACAAGAAAGTAAAGTTCTGACAGTGAATTTGGGGTCAAAAAGGAGCGAAAATAAGGTTCTTGATGGTCCCTTGGGTTGAACAGCATCCATTAATAGCCGGATACACGAAAAGTGGCGCGAAGATGTCGCCGATATATCTATTTCAAAAAATAGCTATCATGTAATTTTACATATTTCTCTCCTACACGTGTGCTTTGCTCTGTAACGGTGGAAATGTATACAGAACTACATATTGTATATGTATACATGAGGAAGCCAATCACTGCTGACCGACATACAAGAATCCATATAATACAAATCTACAGCACCGAGAAAGTGCCAGGTAAAGGTAGGTGGCCGTAATTCTTGGCCACCGGTAGTAATTTAAAAAACAAAACTAGGAAATGAGGGCCGGAGAACATGGTTTCTGGACTGTTGGAATCGTGACTTGAAGCTCTATCAAAGTCCACCAATCGTTTCCGCTAAAGCGAAACGCCACCAAAGAAAGGTGACAGGCAACATTCCACACTGAAGCAAGGGAAATTTGGCAAAAAGTGCCTAAAGATCGGTCACTGATCGGAATTGGCCCGGTGGACTGCCAAAATTATGTAACGTTTATTGGGTCCACGTCACTCACTCGATCCACCACCACCTGTTGCAGCATCATGTGCGCGACGTGCAGCATTGAGTTTGGCAGAAGCCCGTCGTTCTCCGAGGGGTCGCACATGATTTCTATATATTTCTATCGATTCCCCACATTGCTTTGCCCTCCTCAGCTCCACGAACTCTCGCAGCAATGCTCTCTTTTTCTCCCACGCCACTACTTTCCTCTGTTCCACCAATTCCTTCTGCTTGGCGACCAATTTCGCTGATGCTGTGGCACGTCTTTTGCGATTGACATGCGCTTCAATCAGAGTCAGGGCATTTGCTGACGTCATGACTTGGCCGCATATAGTGCCAACATATCCCCTTGACTGTAGAACCGCTTTTTCGCCAAGCACTTGTTCCCTTAGCACTGCCCTCTTCTTTTCAAATAAATCAGCTAACTGGCCCTTATCCAGTATTTTTTCTAAACTGCCAGGCGCGGCTGGGCGTGGAACAGATAGGAGCTTCCGACTGTCGAGAGGCCATAATCCCGCTCTGCAAAATGCTGCCTTGATATTTTCCCAAGACAATGCTTTCTCATATGCATGCCTTATTAGAATGCACAATTTAAAGACATCCCAACTCTCACCTTCCTCCCCTGTAGCAACTGAATTCATGACTTTGTTGAGTTCTCGCTTGAACACACTGAACACTCCCACGTCTAACGGTTGTGTCTTCCCGCTGGTATGGGCTGGCAAAGCGTACACGATGATGTTGCTTATATGAAACAACTGTAGAACACCAAGTGATAAATGGGAGCGGTAAGCATCATAAATGAGCAGAACCTTCCTCCCATTTGCTGTCAAATCGCTAACACTGTCCACAAAACAGCGTGCCCAGTTGAGAAAATTCGTTTGATCAACGCCTCCGCACTCCTCACGCAGTGCACCAAGAGAACCCCGCGGTAGCACGCATAAAGGTGTTTCTTACACCACAGTTCCATGACGCAATACATTCCTGAAAGGAATTCTTTTTCCTTTAAAAACGAATAGACATGGCCCTGTACTGCCAGCTGCGGATATTGTGGGCATCATCGTTACTCTCTTGTGGCACGAGAAGCGGGGGACTTTTGTGTCTTGCGAGCAACTGCGAGGCATCATTTTTCTTGATCTTGACTTGGCATTGACATCCTTACCAGGTGTAACTCCACACTCGTCCAAATTCCACATACGTTCAGCGTCGATGTCGTATTCAGCAATTATTCTCTCAACGGTAGCAAAATCCGCACCCAAGACCTCCCCACTACATGCGGCGAATCTCTCGGCTTCTTGCTTTGTTGGTTTGGAAAATTTAATGAGTTTGTTGTGCCTCTTAATGAAGTTTCGTACCCACTTTCTACCCGGTTGTCCCTCGCGAAATGGCAGGAACGCTTGTCTTGCTGGAGTCATGTGAGACACCATGATTGCTACGGCCTGTCTCACATGATGGGAGTCCATCGGGATTTTTTTGTTTGCGTAATCAGTAAGGAGACGAGAATTGGTTTCTCTTCTTGATTAGTTAGCGCGCGTGGTCGCCCAGCCTGCTTCGTAATTGTTTTGTTTAGCGTTGCTGCGGCGTACTGGACTGTGGACCGTGGAATTTGAAACCACTTTGCGGCATCTTTTGCGGACATTCGGCCTGCCCGGTACTCTTGAACTGCAAGACATTTGCGGTCTTCACGGCGCCGAGGTACATGCGGACGGCTCATAATGTCGTCTTATGCTATCGCAGGGATGGCAAATTGAGCAGAAGGAACAAGGAAAAGTGTGGGAACAGTGAAAGGGGGGCAGCAATTCTAGTTTGATGCCTGCTTGTGAATGGGAAGGCGGGGTTTTGGCGACATTGATCCCAGAAACCCGCCCTCTCACTGTATTCATGAGGATCTAGGATCTGATAGATCGTATTCCGCTGTTTTGGACACATCTGAATCGATTGGTCTGATTTGTTTTTGAATTCCACCACATGTTTTGGCACAACCGCATTCAGAAGAGATGAGAAGGGCCATTGTGTGGACCGAGAGTGCATAATTATTATAATTTCGATTATTATTACGTAACAAACAAGGTGGCCAAATGATTAGGGGCACTGGCCAAGAATTAGGGCCACCTACCTTTAGAAAGGCCATGAGATGCGCACTATTATAGATTTGCATTCGGCGTACATGACCACTTGTCCCTTGACTATTGGTTGTATTAATTAAGGATTTAAACTTTTGAATTTCCGCCAATGCCCACCAATGTCGCCTTGCACGAATCGTGCAACAGACCAAAGGTTACCGACCCGGACTCGTGGGCAGTTGCTCACGCGTTTAAAGTTTAACCCTTACCACTTTCCCTTGCTTCCTTTCAGTGTCGCATGCTCACACACATCCGAGAACTCGCCTGTTTAAGAAGGACAGACTTTAGGCCCGAAACCATTGGCAATCGCTTCCTTATATGATCCACGTACTGCACCATGTCTCCACCAAACCATGGAAGCGTCAAATATTTGTCGATGGTGTCCAGTGGTCCGCGCGGTTCTTTTGAATACCTGCTTGAATACGATGGCGTTCGTTACTACCTGTATCTGGAATACAATGAAGACGTTCCAGATTGCGTGGAAAACCAATACCTGCAAAGAGTAGACGATGCTGGAGAATTGGACGACGATGAGGCTTCATGTGACAAGGCTTTTGATTGTGCAGACCTTTTCTGGGATTTTATCGAGCAGAGCCATCGGTCGCAGCAACAAACACGTCGAGAGTCCCATTCAGTGAAGGACAAAGACACTGACATTTGCAACACGTCTGTTGTGAAAATGCAGGTCAAGACAGTCAATGGGGTCTTGAAAACGATGCCTCATGACCGCCACATGAAATATCCCCCGACCGAACCTGTTGAGAACCCTTGCCCTGACCTAACCGTGTTTTCTAAATCGGACATCGAACAAGTCGGGACTATAGTCTACGAGATCCAAAGGGTTTTGATTCACGGAACCGAGTATTGTGTTAAGACAGTTCACAGACGAACGGAGGAGTGTTTCCTGGCAGAGTTGGAAAAGTTGAGCGATATGCCCTCTCATCCAAACCTGATTTCGCTCGTTGGGGTTGTAGACGCTGGAAACGGACTGATAGACGGCATTGTGCTTCCGTACATTTCTGGGAAATGTCTTCAGGATGTCAGTGTAGTGACTGAAACGCAAAGAGCGAAATGGAAACGCGAGATTGAAGATGCTGTTAAGTTTTTGCACAACAGAGGAATGGTTTGGGGAGATGCCAAACCGGCCAACATTATGATTGACAGCCGGAGGAACGACAGAGCCATACTAATCGACTTCGGCGGAGGCACAACAAAAGGATGGGTTGACTATGAACTCAGCGGAACAGTGCCAGGGGATTTGCAGGGTGTTGCACGCATTAACGAATTTATTGATAGTATTGACAGACTGAAGGGTTGAACCGAGGCTGGACATGGTTTCTACAGTAGTGGGATGAAGCAGGCGAGTTCCCTTTGCACCGAGCAAGCAATTGATGATGACTTTTTGAAGTCATTAGAATGCACCCAAAGCAGTAGGTCCAAAGGCATGTCATCTCGTGATGGACGGCAAGGATATGTCCACGGTTGATAGAATACCAAGTTCTCACATTAATGCACAAATGTCAACGGTGGCCTGTGCGACTAGTTGCAGACGAGCCCCCCGCGCCCCGCGTGGGACGATTCCACTTTTCACAGCCTTCGCAGACTGCATGAGAGCACTCCGAATTCATGCAACTTCCGTATCGATTGCGGCCATCAGGACCGTCGCCATAGCCACATTTACAACAAATCCACACTCCATTCTTCTTTCGATGCCAACACTCTCTCTTGTTACACAGGCCTTGGTTTTGATCTGAGACAGTGGTGCTCCTTTCATTGCACATATTCCTTCTTCTGGTTATGGGGTTCATTGTCGCATTTCGGCAATAAGACGGTTTTTGAGAAGAATGTCCGCAGCGGTGAATACGTCTAACCATGTGGCACATATCGTTTGTGTGCTTCTTGTTTCGGTAATGCGTAATGCGAGTGTTGCACTACCCTACGAGTGCGGGTACGGATTAGAGGTTCTACCGCGTTTTCTTGGGAGCCTGCGCCCTTCTTGAACTGCTGCCTGTCCCTTTCGGTTCTGATGTCGAGCGTCTTGAATAGCGAGGCAAATCACTGCGCAACTGAGCGATTACGAAGCATGGAGGAGTCATCCACAACAGGTACGTGGAGAGGACAACAGACTCTTTTAAGTACGAGAGGAACGCTTGATTCATATCGCTGGCACATGCAGCTGCAGGAGCCTGCAGTGCTGCGACGCTACCGTATGAATGATCAGAAAGGCTGAGAGAGTCTAGAGAGTCTAATTAGACTCTCTCAGCCTTTCTGCCTTCCAGGCTTATGGCTTATTGTCTAATTAGACTCTCTCAGCCTTTCTGCCTTCCAGGCTTATGGCTTATTGTCTAATTAGACTCTCTCAGCCTTTCTGCCTTCCAGGCTTATGGAGTCTAACTAGACTCTCTCAGCCTTTCTGATCATTCATAAGCCTGGATCGGTTCTGCTCAGCGACGAATCCGTGTTTTTGCCCCGTCGGACGTGTCCGCATAGCCGCAAGGCCAGAGTTTAAAGTTCTGATGTTTTGTGCAGAAAGGGCGACATCTTGTCAAACAAGATACTTTCTTATATGAGCTTAGGGATTATTTCTTTGTGTAGCAAGGGCGCGAGACTTTCGTCCCCTGTGCTGGCGCCCTTGTTCCACAGCGTGTGAAGAGAAACGGAGTCCTGAAGCCTCCTATCTGAAGGAGCGGCCTGCTTCCAGATTATCAGAACCGTGCTCTTCTGTCTTGCGTTGTTTGCTGAGCGTCCAAAGACACCTACCCTTTACTTCTACAAGTGTAATCTGATCTGAAATCAATGCAAGGTTGTTCCAAAGATTGCCTCTCCATTGTCATGCCCCAATCACAGCGCATTATAGTAGATTTTCTCAAAACCTTCGATTCTATGGATCTCACGCCGGTTTTTTTGGGGGGTGATCTTGTCGGGAACCGTGCACCAGTGTCTGGTACAGTACCCTGCATTCCAGATCTGGCCACGAACTTGGAGGGCAGGGGTAGCTCCTCGGTTCTCCGTTCCCTCCAACACCCGCCACGACTTCATCGCCGTGCCGACTCAAGTCCATTTTCGTGCTTGGTTCGTTGTCGACGTCAAGACCATTTTTGCGCCGCCGTCTCGATGACAACATCATCGTTTGGTATCTCTCCTTTTCAACATTCCCTGTGCGCAAGCCTGTCCACCACCGGCCATAAAAGATCTCGTTGTCCCTTTTTGCGCTCTACTCGGTTTCCTGTTCCGCTCCTGGGTCGCCGACACACAACACGCCGATGCTGTGTTCGCGCCCTGTCTCGTTGCCAACAGATGATCCATGGATCCGTCTGCGCGGCTACGCAAGACCACACACAGCTATTAGCTGTGGCTTAAAGCCATGTAGTGATAGTGATGATTGATACAGTCAACTTGAGCAATTGAGGATATTGGACCCCAAATCTGCTGCTTTGCATCGAAGACTACGATGTACTCATGTGCTCTATGCGCACAAATGCTTACCGAAGAACTTTTATTGTCATGAGATTGAGCTACAGTACCATGTCATTCTACCCACTTCGTCGGAACCTCGCCCGGGAGTTACTTGTACAACACGATCGCTCGTAGTCTAATCTTGCTCCGAAGGTGCGTATTTGATGTCAGTCTAACTCCCAACCCACCCCATCATACACATTAGCCCACGTCAGCTTCCACAACGGATTCTGATACATTGGTCTCCTCGATAGCGGGCCGCACTTCGAGTGATCTCTTCCGCCAGTACGGAGTTCGCCGATCTCCCTTAGTGCTGTTTGTGTAGAGTAATACTCCTGGGAAGTCATCCAACAGCACTGGCAAGACCACGCGGGGATGCGGAGCCTCCGCCTTGTCCAATAATGCAGTCAAGCAGTTACTAAAGACAATATCGAATCTCCTCTCAATGACATGCAGTCCCGTATAGATCCACTTGTACTCCCCCTCTCCGACCCCAAACCCGGCGACAAGCTCCGGAAGGGACAGCCCCGACCTCGCTTCTCGGCCGGATCGCACAAGGTCTATATCACGCTGCCCTGGCGCTCCCATCCCCCACACCACTAACGCTTGGCTCTCGCTGTCTGAGCTTACGCGGAAGTGCGTCCCGGAAATCCCCACAACGAGGCGGTCTATCAGCAAACCGACCAAAAGCGCTTGCTGTCGGAGTCCCTTGATACAGTCCTAACACCGTCCTGACCGTCATATTTCGCGAAACGAAGGTATCCCATGCGGTCGGGTGTTGGTCTCTGAGGCGCTGTAGCGCGCGATTGGCGGCATTTATGGACTGACTACTGAACTCATCACACCCAATGGCGTATGCCTCGTCCAGTTCCTTTTGCATATCTTGACATTTCTGCGGGGTAGATTCTACGAGACGGCCGAGGTTGGCCCCGGTCTGAACTGGGAACTCACTAACCTGGCGGGGATCTGTATCCCACAGCCTCCCTTTAGGACAGCGCGCCAGTTCCGCTGTTTGTGCTGGCGTCAATAGTGCGAAGACCGTGTTCACGTTGCCCGGAATGCATACCTCGTCGGCCACACCCGCAGCCCATGTCATGGGTCCGAGGAAGCACACCGTGCTGTCGTTTAACACCCCCACCTAGGGCGTGAGCTCGGCTCGCAGACGAGGTTCTATCCTGTTATCCACTACAATGACTCCGCTTCATCCGTTGTGGACTGGACGCGCCGGGCTGCCTGAATGATTGTGAGACAGCCGACGGTAGGAATGTCGCCCGTTATCGCGGCACGGGACGTTGTAATGGCTTCAAGCACAATCCGATCCGCAACTTTCTCATCTGGACACGACGGAAACACCTCTCGCACTAAGTACGTGAACTACGGTTTCTACGGGCTAGTCTCGATCTTCCGTATCAGGAGCTCATACTGTTGCATGTCAGGCTCTGTGAGCGATGTAGTATTCCTCAGGAGCCGTTCTCGGCACAGCCTGGACATCTCCATAACGGCCCGCCACAGACTTTGCGAACGGCTGACCTGCTCCAAGTCCGATACTCCCGGCTCGTGATATGGAGCACAAGCAAGACCTAGGCACTGAAGCAGCCTACTCAGTCCCACCTTATCGACCATGCTTCCTCCCACGAGCCCCAACATATCCGCATTAGTACCGAGCGCCACTGCCTCAATGGAGTTGTTGAATATGAGAAGTGTCTGCGCAACGGAAGGGACCTGCTCGACCCCCGGCCACGCATCATCGCTCAGTGCGCTAGCGCCACATAACCACTTGCCGGTAATCTCTTCACCCTTCACCCCAGGACAAACCTCTAGTCTCGGAAAACGCCGGTATCTCTCCTGGGAAGTATGTTCGGACTAAGGCTTCTGCCCGCATCCATGGTTGGGGGACAGGAGAGCAGCCAAGCGTTCGCGACCATCGCCCGGCGTCAAATCCATCTTAGACCGAGGCTCGTTGCCTCTCCGCGGCAAGCCGGTGCTGATCGTCGAAGAGTCGTGGGCCTGACGAGCTTGAAACGGTAGATGATGTTGTCGAGTCCAAAGCTCTCGACGCGATCGTGTGAGACTTTAAACTGCAGGTGCCTTCCAGTCCAATGGCTTTGTTGAGAGAATGTGTCTTCTCAACCTGTTCTCCCAATTTGGAAGACAGCTTCAACCAAAATGTACAGCTGCAAGCCGTCTCTGGTTCGAAACTGGCTCCTCTCACCAGCCACTTACATTCGTTCACAATCTGCAGTTGGCATGGAAGCGAAGCAACACGCGTGTCCTGTTGTGCAATTTGGAACCAAAAATCGCTGAGATGGCATCCGCGAAGCGCTGGGCAAGCAGTGAAATGAATCCACATCACTCATGTGAGTGAATAGCGTCTTTGCGACCACTTCAACCGCAAGGTTCTCTCCAGGGCGGCAACAGGGTTACAAAGTCACCACATGCTGCCCTCGCCTGCAGCCTTCGCCCAGCAACCAAACCCAAAAGACCTTCGCTTTCCACTTGCACCCCGTTCTCCCTATCCCCCGTCTTCCCCACTCTGTCCCCGGATAGGACTGCCCCTCACTCTTTTGTCCCCGCCGCCTGCAGTCAAGCCACGCGCGTCCTAAGCGTAGCTGCCCCATCTCGTAGGCTTCCGCACGGAACGGAATATGGTCCGAAACCATGATCTTCTTCACCTCCACCAACCTTGTCGTGCACCTCTGATCTGCTTCCGCTCTCCCTGCGTTTCTTGTCTTCGCTCTTTTAGTCGTACCAGCTTCAGGCGCAACCCCACTGCATGCTCATCACGCGTCAATCTGCATTCTCGCCTTCATTGCTCTGCGCTTGCCCTTTGCCGCATCTGACGTCGTCACCTCCACTCGGCCATAGTCTGTGATACCGACCCCGGTCATGGCTGGAGTAACAGATGTATGTATAGTCTTCGAGCAGGTGCACAGCATCTACAATGGCGACAAGGAATGTAAAGCAGCTGGCGGGACCGTTTTGCGCGAGCAATTACCACCGCCAACTCGCTGTCCGAACTTGAGGCAAGCGCTCTTTCGTTGATGAAGTTCTGCGCGACATCGTCAAAGCTGCTCCGATTTAGAAAACGCTGCAGCGAGCTCCCTTCATGAGATGCGCACTATTATAGATTTGCATTCGGCGTACATGACCACTTGTCCCTTGACTATTGGTTGTATTAATTAAGGATTTAAACTTTTGAATTTCCGCCAATGCCCACCAATGTCGCCTTGCACGAATCGTGCAACAGACCAAAGGTTACCGACCCGGACTCGTGGGCAGTTGCTCACGCGTTTAAAGTTTAACCCTTACCACTTTCCCTTGCTTCCTTTCAGTGTCGCATGCTCACACACATCCGAGAACTCGCCTGTTTAAGAAGGACAGACTTTAGGCCCGAAACCATTGGCAATCGCTTCCTTATATGATCCACGTACTGCACCATGTCTCCACCAAACCATGGAAGCGTCAAATATTTGTCGATGGTGTCCAGTGGTCCGCGCGGTTCTTTTGAATACCTGCTTGAATACGATGGCGTTCGTTACTACCTGTATCTGGAATACAATGAAGACGTTCCAGATTGCGTGGAAAACCAATACCTGCAAAGAGTAGACGATGCTGGAGAATTGGACGACGATGAGGCTTCATGTGACAAGGCTTTTGATTGTGCAGACCTTTTCTGGGATTTTATCGAGCAGAGCCATCGGTCGCAGCAACAAACACGTCGAGAGTCCCATTCAGTGAAGGACAAAGACACTGACATTTGCAACACGTCTGTTGTGAAAATGCAGGTCAAGACAGTCAATGGGGTCTTGAAAACGATGCCTCATGACCGCCACATGAAATATCCCCCGACCGAACCTGTTGAGAACCCTTGCCCTGACCTAACCGTGTTTTCTAAATCGGACATCGAACAAGTCGGGACTATAGTCTACGAGATCCAAAGGGTTTTGATTCACGGAACCGAGTACTGTGTTAAGACAGTTCACAGACGAACGGAGGAGTGTTTCCTGGCAGAGTTGGAAAAGTTGAGCGATATGCCCTCTCATCCAAACCTGATTTCGCTCGTTGGGGTTGTAGACGCTGGAAACGGACTGATAGACGGCATTGTGCTTCCGTACATTTCTGGGAAATGTCTTCAGGATGTCAGTGTAGTGACTGAAACGCAAAGAGCGAAATGGAAACGCGAGATTGAAGATGCTGTTAAGTTTTTGCACAACAGAGGAATGGTTTGGGGAGATGCCAAACCGGCCAACATTATGATTGACAGCCGGAGGAACGACAGAGCCATACTAATCGACTTCGACGGAGACACAACAAAAGGATGGGTTGACCATGAACTCAGCGGAACAGTGCCAGGGGATTTGCAGGGTGTTGCACGCATTAACGAATTTATTGATAGTATTGACAGACTGAAGGGTTGAACCGAGGCTGGACATGGTTTCTACAGTAGTGGGATGAAGCAGGCGAGTTCCCTTTGCACCGAGCAAGCAATTGATGATGACTTTTTGAAGTCATTAGAATGCACCCAAAGCAGTAGGTCCAAAGGCATGTCATCTCGTGATGGACGGCAAGGATATGTCCACGGTTGATAGAATACCAAGTTCTCACATTAATGCACAAATGTCAACGGTGGCCTGTGCGACTAGTTGCAGACGAGCCCCCCGCGCCCCGCGTGGGACGATTCCACTTTTCACAGCCTTCGCAGACTGCATGAGAGCACTCCGAATTCATGCAACTTCCGTATCGATTGCGGCCATCAGGACCGTCGCCATAGCCACAGTTCACAACAAACTTCCCGACACGTACTGGTACCCAGCATTTTCTCTTCCTCTTTTCTTAGTTGCAACAAAGCGCCTTGCCATTTTATTGTGAATCAATTCTATCCATCGCATGAGAGCAAAGGCTACCAGAGTCGTTAATGTGAACTAGCACTTAAGGTGTCACAGGGATAACAGGAAATGGTGACCAGCAAAACGAGATTGCTTCCAAAGAGGGACAATTAATATGTGACCCAGCTCTTCCACTTGTTGTCATGGGCTGTATTAAGATCTACTAGGAGGCCAGTTGCAATACGGCATCAGGTCATCAGAGGGTAACACCCGTAAAACGATCCATGCGAAGAACGCATCAAGGATAGTTCGTAAAAGGTTTGCTTTCTCGTTGATGTTGGTGATCACAACATTTCGCTCTGACTGCTAATGATGAGATAACCAGCTCGATAGTGGTATCCGCATGTAACAGAGCACACCAGTCTTCGGCATTAAAAGTGGTTTTAACGCGTCAGGCCACAGTATTCTACACAGTACGTTGCCTCTATGCCTTTCCTGTAGCCGGCGCTACTTTCCCCTTCTCCACTTCCATGTCATCCCCAGTCACTTTCGGTTCCTCAGTCACTTTCGGTTCCTCAGCAGCTTTCCCGTTCGCTTCCCCATCCATCTCTTCGGCACCCGGCCCGTTGGGCTGCGGTTCTACGGGAGTCTCGTCCATCTTCTCTCCGTCCTTCTCATCGGCCTTCTTCTCTTCGGGCTTCTCTTCGACTTTCGGTTTCGGTTTCGGTGTGTTCTGAATTGGTCGGCACACCTTGTCCAATTCGGTGAGTTTCTCGTTAAGATCGGCACAGATCAAAACAGGATCTTGGTCCTTGGGCAGAGGTTCTTGCTTTGTCAGCTGCTCCTTAAGCCAAACATATGTGCTCTCCGCGCATTTCAAAACTTTGTTCTTGTCTTCGTCAGAGATGTGTGCGTACTCTTCCGCTCCTGGCACGGCAATCTGCTTATAGTTTTAGATCGAAGTCTCCAAAACACTGACTCGAACAGGCCTCTCCTCGAATTCCTTCTTCCGATAAAAGAGCTTGCTGGCCTTCTCCACAAGCTCGTTCTTCTTCTGCACGAAAGCGATTTTCGACGCGGCCTCAGCTTCTTCCGAATAGATCCACTCTTCCGTGTTATCCAGGTCCGCTTTGAGCGTGTTCCGTACCTCATCAGATCCAAAGTCCTTCAGATCCCCACCGTACGGATCAATGCGATTGCGAAGGTCATACACATACGCTTCCAGCGAGTTCATCGCCTCAGACCGCTCCCTAATGTACAGGTCATTTGCCCTCATCTTGGCCTCCTCCTCGGTGGCGGCCATAACCAGTTCAGTGGTCATTCCATGTCCAATGCCGGGGAGTCTGGTCAACCCCAGATCGGAGGACTTAATCTTCTTGACCAGACGCTTCTCCGTCGCTGGAGGCTCTTCCTTAGCCGGTTCCGCCGCTGGAGCCGGAGGGACCGCTGGAGCTGCCTGAGCCGCTGGTTCTTCCGGCTTGCCGTCAGGCGTGCCATCAGTCTTGGCAATTCCGTCGGCAGGAGCGTCCGTCATGGGGGTATCCGAAGCAGGAGCACCGTTGGCAGTTTCCGCAGTGGTGGTGCCATTCGGCTTCTCTTCAACCTTCTCGACCGACACCTCTTCTTCCACCTCGACCTCCTTCATTAGCTGAGCACTGGCCACCTCGACCGTACCATTCGCAGTGACACGAATCTTGGTACGAACCTTTGCTTCCGGGTCTAACGGCGCATCGACAAGATAGCTGCATATCTGGGCGGCCTCCTCGCCAACAGGGAGGGTGGTAGGGTCGCTGTAGCGAACATTGATGGTGAGCGGTCCCGGTGACTTGAAGGTCATGGCCTTGAGACAGGGGATAAGGTTGCCCTTTGGTACGAGAGTGAGCGCCTCCGGCGCAGTGCCGTCCGTGAAGATCTTCTCAGCGTCAAGAGCCTGGGCTGCGATGTCACTAACAATTTAGTCGCGCACTTTGAACGCCGGAGAGAGCATGGCCGACATGAGGGCACATCCACGTGCAATGCACTCGTCCGCGTTGAGCGTGGTGCGGATAGGCGCGCCGACCTTGGCGAAGGCGTCTGTGATAGCTGCCTTGAACGCTGGGACACGAGTGCTGCCGCCAACGATTTCGACTGCGGCGAGGTGCTCATCCGGCTTGAGCCCCGCGTCTGCAATGGCCTTTTCGCAGACTGCATGGATCCGCTCGACGAGCGGAACGGCGAGCTCCTCCAGCTCGTCGCGCTTGATGGCTCCCTTGACATCAACGTCGTTCATGAGACATTCGAGGTTAAGCCGGGCCATGTGGTATAACGGCAAACTAGATTTAGATCTAGATTGGATCCCGCACTGTAGAGCCGGAGCTCTACAGTACGGACCCACACGTGTGCGCGACACGCACGTGTACTGTCAGCCCGATGCCTGACAGCGCTACAGTGCAGGCTGACCCGCACTACAGTAGCCCCCTACAGTACATCGGTACCCGGGTGGTCTCCCGTTTCCCACTCCCCGCGTCCCGAACACGCGTGCTCTGCCTGAGGCTGCCACACGTGGCCTCAGTGCACGACATTTGGTCTCCCGACCTAGAAGTCTGCGGAGTTTTCTCTTACCCTTTCTCTTTTATTTTCGAAGGTTTTCTTTCCACAGCTCACAGGTGTGAACCAGACATGGTGTCCGGTTCCGAGAGCTCCCGAGAAACCCGTCCTCGAGACGTACTACCTGCCACTGCGGCGTGGATCACTCGGAGTTGCCGCGAGGCACTCCGAGAGGCCGAACGGTTTACGCTCACTACTGTAGCGGAAAAACTCGCAGCGCAATCGCCGGCGCTGCGAGAAAGTCTCAACAGCTTTGTTGTGGAAACGATCGCCGCACAGGCGGATGTTCAGTCAGCGTAGGGACGCGATCGACTCTCCGCTTTTGAAAGCGTTTTGACTCGCGCCTGGCAGAAGGATCTATCTGCCAGTATCGACGAGGCCGTCCTCCCTCTGAAACAAGAGATCGCCACTATAACTGCAGAGCTTAATACCCTCCGGCAGGAAGTCTCCGTCCTTAAGACGTCCCGCCCCCATCCGTCACCGGCTACCCGGGTCGGATCGGCGACGCAAACTCCAGCCCCTGCGGCTGTTACCCCTCCGAATACCGCCGGAGTTGCCACGACACCCATCCGGGTGAAGTGTCTACCACCACTCCCGCCGCGGAGTTACCCCCGTTGAACAAGAGCTTGCTCTTTCAACCGTTACCCTCCCAGCGTTACAAGCCACCGGGATTCCGGTCCCCTCAATGGCGACCGTACCACAGTTTTCTGCCAATCACGCAGCGTTGACGACAACGGCTGGAGCGTCCCGAGAAGGTGCCTCCGTCGGACCCATACACCTTGCTGGTGAAGTACCTTCCCGGAGTGTACCGGGAGGGGACCCCGACTCTGGGGGAGGTTCGGACGACAACGGAGATGGACGACGAAAGAAGTCCAAACCCGGTCGGAAGAAGCGCCATGATCGCCGCCACAAGGGACGAAAGGGGAAAGACCCGCCACCCGAGGATTCATCTTCGTATCAATCGAGCTCGTCGTCGTCGTCTTCCTCGGACTCGGAATCTGATTCCGAGTCGGAGTCCCTCACGGCACCAATGCCGACGTTCGGCCCCAAACAGAAACACCTTTCTGTTTGGAAGCCGACGAACCACCGCTTCAGGTGTACATGTAACTACCGAGCATACCGTCTCGTTGACACTGGCCAAAATGTGGATGACAAGGTTTATGCCACCACCCGTAAGAGGGGGCAGTACCTCCTCGTCGTTATGGGCGAGTACAAGTTCAGCGGGGTGGACCCGATCAGAGTCATAAGTTTCCTTGCGCGCTGCAAGGAAAACTTTGACAACGACAATATGTCGGAGGCCATGGCTCTGATGGCCCTCCCCCACCTGTTATCACCACCCGCGAAAGAGGCGTATGAGTCCCAGAGGGGTCTGCACCGCAAATCCCAAGGAATCGCGAGTTGGGCCGCCGCTGTTAATTGGCTACTGCGCACATACGCGACTAACCTCTAAATCGAGCGGGCCCTCACCTCCTTACGGGAGTTACGCCAGAAGCAAGGCGAAACGGAAACCGAGTATGCTACTCGTATGTTAACCGCCCTCGGGAGATGTGGCGACGTCCACTCACAGTACGAGAGGACCACTCTGTACATAGAGGGACTAACCCCCGCGATCAAGCCGCTGGTGCTACAAACTCGCGAGGATCGTCCCCGATCCACGTTCGAGGATACAGTAGCCCACGCCCGGTCACATGGCGATGCTATACGGGCCCAACTAGGGCCTGGTCGCCGGGTGGACTTTATCAAGCCTCGCCCTGTTAAATAGGTTCTAGCCGCTCTTGATAGCGTTCCGTCCTCGAAGACCGGCCCCACGACCAGTTACCAATCAGCCAGGGGAGCCGAGAACTACTTGGCAGTGGAAGGTGACAACGTCGGGGGGATATCCTCCCTATCGACAGAAGACTTCTCCTTCAACGATGGAGATTCGCTTTTCTACGGCGACCGGCACAAGCCGTACCAACCCGCTGTAGAGCGTCCGGGAAGTACCCGCGGCCCCTCCGGCGGACGAACGTCCCGGGAATATCAGAAGGATCTGCGGGGGCCACCTTCCCCGCGGATCATTTGCTTCGCCTGCTACACAGTCGGGGATCATATTACCCTCGACTGTGGCATGAAGGTGAAGGATGTATCCCTCGTACCCCACCAGTACGAGAAGCTATCGATGGCCCAGAAGAGCTGGGTCTCACCGGATGCGTATCTCCGTGCCGTCGCCCTCCTCAGTTACGAGGCTAACCGGGTAATCAATCGCGTTCCTGTCACCAGACAGTCGCCGACGTCGGCGACTGTGGCGAAGACCTCCCCGCCCGTGATGGCGTACAGCGACCTCCGAAAAACTAGGAGAACCTCAGTCTGCAGCAACTGAGGTAGAGACGGGGGCTACCCCGGAGAACTCGCCAAAGTCGGCGGATACAATTTCACCTCCCAAGACGGAGAAGCGGTTCCGAGTACTCGGCCGTAAACACACTGGCTCAGCCCAGGGCAATCCCGATCCCGAAGGCCTCGGTACGCTACTCCGACCATGGCGGACGAACATCCAGCCGCTTGCACCGGATGTTCACGCCTCTGCGACAGTGATGACCTTGTCGCAGAGAAACTACAAGGTCTATGCAGACCTTGGTATTACCCCAGCTGTCATGGTGAGGCAGCTCACCATCCTCGACACGGGGGCGGGTTCCAACTTCGTTCAAGGTGATACCTTACCTTCAGGATGGGAGTCGCTCGTCACCCCGGGTGAAATCCGGACAATCGCTGACGCAAATGGCCGCCCATTGCGGACGAGCGGACAAATCCCACTGGTGGTGCGGTTAGGTGACCGCACCATGAAGTGTAACTTCATCGTTTGCCAACGACTGGCAGCCCCCGTCATTCTCGGGTGTGAGTTTAACGACAAATTTGTCGAAGCAATCTACCCCCAACGAAAGTTGGTGGAGTTGGACGACGGTACAAAAGTACCGATCGTTCGTAAACCGGCTCGCCGTGCCCTAGATCACCCTCCGCTCCCCTCGGAGCAGGAGTATACCCCCGAGGCTGGGCGCATATCGCCCAAGCTTAAGGTGTCCCGAGCGGTGGATATACCGGCCGGTACCCAAACTTGGGTACACGTCACTAATGGACGAAGAGGACTCTCCACGGTGGAGCCAAACCCGCAATTATATGCGAGGCATCGTGTCTCCATTTCCAACGGGGTGATCCACATCACTCCGTTGCAGGAGTTTAAAATCTTGGTAGCCAACTTCTCACCGGCCACCAAGCGACTGGCGAAGAACCAAGTGGTTGGTTTCGTTTCTCTCCATCCCCGTGCGATGATTTGCACGGCGATACCATTAGACGCAGTTCTTGCGGAGGAGTTCGACGAGGGGAGCCCTCCTTCACAGGGTGCAGACCGCCCTCGCTGACCTTCCTCGACTCATGAGGTTTCTCATCCCATGGATGCTGTACCCCTTGACCACTTGCCGCAACACGTGCCGAAGCAGGTTCGCACCATGCTTACGCCGTACGCAGGCATGTGGAATGGGAATCTGGGTGAGGTTCGAGCGACCGAACATCGCATCGAACTCACCCTCGGCGCAAAGCCGTTTCGTTGTCAACCCTATCGGGCTGGTCCTCGCGCCCGAGAGTCAGAACAAGTCTCAGTAGACGAGATGTTGGCCAGAGGGTTTATCACCCGGTCGAAATCCGGGTGGGCCTCGCCGGTCGTCCTCATCCCCAAGTCGGATGGCAGTCTCCGTTTTTGCGTCGACTATCGTCGCTTAAACGCCTTAACCGTGCGTGACACGTACCCTATTCCTCGCATGGACGAGTGCCTAGATTCCCTAGGTGAAGCCAAGGTGTTCACCACTTTGGATTGTAACTCCGGGTACTGGCAAATTCCAGTTGCCCAGGAGGATAGGGCCAAAACCACATTCACGTGTCATGCCGGGACGTACCAGTTCAACCGAATGCCCTTCGGGTTGATGAACGCCCCGGCTACATTTCAACGAATGTTGGATATTCTCCTCTCCAGCTACAGCTGGAAGAGTTGCTTGATTTACTTGGATGATATTATAATTTTCTCCAAGGACCACGACTCCCATCTCAAGGATATGGAGGTTATACTCCGGGCTCTACAGCAGGAGGGATTGTCACTTAAGCTCAAAAAGTGTAAGTGTTTTCAGGACTCCGTGGAGTACCTGGGTCATATCATTCGTCCGGGAGAACTTCAAGTTCACCCGAAGAACGTCAAAGCGCTCTCCGAAGCGACGCCTCCACGGACCCAAACCGAGCTCCGCTCGTTCTTGGGGATGTGTAATGTTTACCGCCGTTTCGTCGATCACTTCGCTAAAATAGCGGCGCCTCTTACGGCGATGCTCCGCAAGGGAGAACCTGATCTCCTCCCCGTCTTGGATGACGATCAAACCATGGCCTTCGATACGCTGAAGGCGTGTCTAATATCCCCCCCGGTGTTGAAGCTCCCTCGCGGTTACCTTACTCGCTCGGTACCGATGTGTCTGATGCTCAACTGGGCTGTACCCTGTTACAGACCCATGAGGATGGAAACCGATACCCTGTTGGGTATTGGTCCCGCACGCTAGAGTCAGCGGAACGGAATAACTCGACAACCGAGAAAGAATGCCTCGCCATCGTATGGGCGATCCAAACGCTGCGGCCATACTTGGAACGCGAGCAGTTTACGGTTAACACCGATCACCATTCTCTCAGGTGGCTTATGAACCT